GTTGGTTCTCTTTTGAGATGCTTCAGTCTTCATCAAATGGAAGAAATTGTGGAAATAATTTGTTCGATCATGGATTATACTCACATTAAATATATTGGCGATTTTACATGTTAGATATTGAATGCATACTCTATTTGGAGTTTTGTCTGTGTTATTGTTTACTTTGGATACTGGACCAATATTTTGTGCCATAAACACAGGCTTGCCATACTAAGGCAGAGTACGAGGAATGTGGAGCGAGCATATGCCGCACTAACCCTGTTTTCAAGGGAATGTATTGATACGAAGACCATCTGAAATTGACAAATCAGAAGGCCATTTTTTTCAGGATGTTTAGAAATGTAAAACGATCAATCCCATCTCCAGCACGTGGCCGTGTTGATATCTGCAAATTCTACTGATGCACAAATGTCTTTGTGTAATTTTACAGGTTAGGTTGTTGAAGGCAGTGTAAAAGACATTGTCAGTCCCAATTGTAACAGATGAGGTTCTTGTATTCTTTCAGTAGGAATCGACAGTTCTTCCAAGCTCGGGGTGCTGATGCTACCGTATTTCGTGGAACAAGTTGGCACTTCTGCATCCAATTATTGTCATTGATTAGTGTTTAGCTTGGCTGAGGTTTGATATGAATGTTTGGAAGAATAATAAACATATATCTTCTCATAGGAACTTATTGTTTGGATTGATTATAAGTGTAGTGGAAAATCGCCATATTTCATTAGAAAATTGATTTTTTTTCTGAAATATATTATATGCTTGTACAACTTGCCATCACCTTGTTAATGAATTTTCGTCATTTTTCACTTACTGACTTGATTTGCATCATGATTTAATATATTTATTCGCAAAATGGAGTACGTGACAACATCGATAGCTTTGTATTGCCCTAGGCCATAGCAGTAAAATCTTGGCTGGAAAATACATAATCTTTACGAAGAAGAGAGCTCTAGAGGAAGCCTCGGGAATAGATATAACATACTTCTTATAGTTTTGAAGAAGCTTTTGATACAACATAATTCTGAATTTTTTTCTTTATTTTTTAACCACACATTTTCCATTGATTTGATGTGAATAATGTATTTTTTTTTCCCTAAAATGTGGCTCAAACATGGGCTAAGTTTTGAAGAAGCTTTTGATACAACATAATCCTACATCAAAAAGTCAGGGGAAGAGAACTCGTTGCTGTCTCAACTGT